GATTGACTATAGTCAAAGCCTCTGATATGAGGGGATGGAAGATATCATCAGACACGTGTCATAGCCATCTCAAAACAGTATAAATTACCATCACGGCGAATTTCGAAACTGTCTCAAGTTTCGCTGCACCGAACGATAAAAGTATCCTTGAATCCAGTATCTATTTCAAAATGAGGGATCCGAATAGAAACTGAAGAATTATACCATATTTGGTGTTACTTTCTCAATGATGGTTTCTCGTCTCTCCTTTTTTTCGCCTCATTTCGAATAAATATGACCTTGAGTTTTCCAAATGTGGGTGAAAACCGTTACCGAAATTTGTGTGTTTTCACGCATACCGGTGGGTAATTTCAAGCAACTCAATTTACTGATTGGGGAGTCAGGTTCAATGTAAAGACCGAAAAAACAAATTTGGTTTTTATGGAGAGTCACTTACGTCACATTATGTGAGCACTGCATCTTGTATCTTAAATGTGCCGATCTCCATTGTGTTCTCTCTGGCAACATGAGCTATTAGCCGATGAATTTATGAGCTTATATCGCAGTATACGTAGGTTACGCTCAAGTTTCATTCTAGGTGGTCTCCTCAAAGATAATAGAGTTTTCGATAGGTATGCACCACTCAACTAATAAAATTTTCTAATTAGCCAAGTGGCTTGAGGGACACTCAACGGATATCAGCAAGGATTTAAAAAAATACACAAGACACAAGCTACACATCACTGAAAGAGTGGTTCCTCAGAACATACCCAGTGCTACAGGCAGAGAATAATGGGTAAGTCTCACTGCGCCGATGCGAACTTCCGAATACAACCAAAGCACCTATTACGAAATCTCCGCCCGAAACTTTATAATATATGGAAAGTACAAAAAGAATGGTATCCCCTTGACTTTCCGAGAATGAAGAGTTAACTATCGAATACCGAGAACCTTCCATGCGAATCATCACATTCCCGTACTGCCAAGATTCAGTGCAAAGGTTGTCTTGTTAGATAGAAAGAACACATCTTTTATTGCACAGCCCCGTATGTCATGAATAATTTTGGGATGCATCCTATACGGCAGCTGAAACGGGAGTGACGATGTTCCAAATCAATTTGAAAGCTAACTTCTCAAAGAAAGTTTTAGATTTCTGCCTGATGATGTGTACTCTGGGACGTGCAGCGGCTTGTTTTCGCCGCTGAATTACTGGCAGCAGAATGAGGAAAAATTTGCATCTCATCATAAGCTAAACACATGGAATAACGCTCGTTCATTCCCTTTTAACGAATTTATAGGTGGTCCTGGTTTTCTCACTTTTATCCAACGTTCTAACTACTTATGAGGGACCAAGTAGCATTTATTGTGCGAAATATTTGTTCCACTGCAATTCGTTGATAATCGTAAATTGTGCAGGTAGAGCAAAACAGTTAATGCTGTGAATCATGAGTTCACCATTAAAATCAGTCAGAAAAACTTTGTTCTAAAGATCGTTTTTGTTGCTTTAGGTCCGCGTGGAACCTCCGGCCATATTGGCGCACTCAAGTGATCGAGCAGAAACGATGTGCCTGATCGTCGCACATCAACCTGCTTCGGAGTGCCTGCTCTGCGGTAATCCCTTCATGAACGCCTTGTATCATAAAGGTATCGCGTCACTATTTGCTTTCATAACACTTTCGGTAACCACCATTCGACTCCCCCGGTTTTGCCCACACTGGACAAACTATATGAACCAAATGGTATCGAGGTTCAACTTATATTCATTCATTTACTAATTATTTGGTAATATTAAGTCAATTAAACATACATAAATATATGCCTTTACATATAGAAACATATACAGACAAACAACTAACACATATTGCATATAACTGGCAAATGAGTGTATATTCGCTAATTCCGTGCACTTTGGTTTTAAGTGAAACATAAGGTTGCGGAAACTCGGGAACCGCGCCTACATGATGATCCCCAAAAAGGGCGAAACCGGTCGTGGGCTGTCGAGGAGTTTTCGGCGACCTTATGAGTAGTACATCATTAATTTACATGCATCGCCATATCTCGAATATCGTAGCGACTGAAACATGATGCAGCCTAGTACAGCACATTCAGTTGCCTGAGAACATCACAAACGAGAGATTCAGCTGGGTTCCAGGTGAGTCTCTCGAAAAACCAAATTAGTTTGCAAATGAGTGTATAT